GAGGGTAACACAGGCAGCTGGGGTTCACAATGTCCACCACGACCCCTGCCAGCAGCACTGTCATCCAGATGTCCTCACCGTCCGCCAGTTGGCTCACACGCTGTGCTGGGCGCGGCCTTGGGATGGCACCTGGTACTGAGGACCCTGTTGCTGCCTGCAGGGCCATGTCTTGAGCAGGAGTGTGGGAGCACACACCAAGTGGTGGGGCGGGGGCCGGGGTCAGCAGCCAGGGCCTGGTAGAACCTTGGCCGTGAGCCTGGGGTTTGATGGGCTGAGCTCTGGTCATGACTCTGTTGCTCCCTAGCTACTTGACTTCCCTGACTGAGGGTCGCCTCATCTGCAGAATACAGAATGATAACAGCTGCCTCCTATAATTATGAGGACTAAATGAGATCGTGAACTTGAAGCACTTACAGGAAATCTGGCCCTGGTCAGCATTCAGTAGGAGACCGTCAACCTCACTATGTTCTTATTTTCCAGCAGCCGGCTGCGCCTGCCCTGTCCTTTCGGCCTGGCCTGTGGGGCCTGGTACTGGTCACCCTTTCTGACTCCCACCTGCCCCAGACCTGTGCAGCTGGATTCCTGCCTCTGTCCTTACCACTCTTAACTGCACACTGTGTCCTAAGTTCCTGGCCTGCCCTTTTCAAGGGGCATCATCTTGGTAGTCCCTGCTTCCCGCCTGCCCAGAGAGCTGTGATCAGGAGCAAGTGTGCCCCATCACTCAGAGCAGACACAAGGGAGTGTGTTCTTATTGGGTCCTGCGGGGTTTGGACCCCCTGTTAGCACTCAGCTGCTTCGTCTTACAGCTTCCTGAGGAAGGCACCAATTCTGGTCTGTTCTGCCCTAAAAATTACAGCTTAATGCAAACTTATTATGTGTGCGAGCCGGTGATAAAAGCCCTAATCTCTGCAGAGCATGAGAAGGCGGTGAATGCAGCTAGGAAAATCCCCGCTTGTCCTCAATTTCCTGGCAAGCTCTGTCCCTCTCCAGGACAGGGCTTATTGTGAGCAGGCAGCGGATGCCAGCATGACACTTTTTAGACTGTAAGATGGAATCTGTGTTTTCCTGGCCCATGGCTTCCTTCAGTATTTTGAGGAGGCAGCTGGCGTCTCTGAGGGGAAACGTTATTGATTTGGAAGATCCTCCTCCCCAGCCCTCTGGCTTGCATTTCTGCAAGGTCATTGGTTTCAGAAAGGAGTCAGATTTTGATGGCGAAAACAGAAATGCGGGGAGAGATCTCCCCCGGGGGGAGCCCAGGAAGACCCAGGGTGCCTGCTCTGTGCTGCCTGACGCTGTGGTCGGGTTTGTCCTCTGGGGTCCATTTCATCCATTTTCTTTCCCGGTTTGTGTTTTTTTCCCGTCCTTGTGGAGATATTTTGCCCAACCCAAAGTCAAAGATTTTTTTCTTGTTTTCTTCTTTCCATGTTAGCTTTTTAAATTCCTGAGGAGTAAAAAAGTGAGTCCCACCTTGAGATACCACAAGATGGCTACTACAGAAAAACAAATGCTGGTGAGAACTTAAGACATTGAACTTTCATATGTTGCTGACAGGAATGTGAATTGGGGCAGCTACTGTGAAACAGTTTGCTGGTTCTTCTAATGGCTAAACACAGGGTTATCACATGACCTAGCAATTCCATTCCTAACTTTATACCCAAAGCAATTGAGGGCAGAGACTCAAGCAGGTACTTTACACCAATGTTCACTGCAGCCTTGTTCACAATAGTCAAAAATAGGATTGATCCAAGTGTTCATCCACAGATAACGGGACAAATGAAGTGTAGTTTATAATATGATGGAATAGTATTCAGTCATGAAAAAGAATGAATGTTATACCATGATGAATGTATAAAATGATGAATGTTATACCATGAATGAATGAACCTTGAAAACATATTGAATGAAATAATGCAAACACACACACATGAAATTCTATGATTGCATGCATGTGAGACACCTAAAGTAGTCGATTTCACAGAAACAGGAAGAAGTTAAACGTTCTCAAGGGCTGGGGAAGGAGGGAGGAACAGGGCATTGTTATTTAATGGTGGGAATTTCTCTTCTGAGTGATGGATAAGGTTGGAAAATATATGGTTGTGAAGGTTTCATCGCGAATGCAGGCAATGGTTAGAGATGGTGATTGTGTGTCCCGTATATTGTATGACGACTGCAGCCATCGAGTTTGTTACCCTTGGAATGAGTATACTTTTTAAATTTGGTAAACCTAAGTGGATGAACTGCACAGTGTTTGAATCTCTCAGTAAAGTTATTTGGAATTTAAATATCATGCACTGCAAACATGTACTGACAACATCAAAGGTTTAAATGTAAAACCCCAAATTATAAAACTACTAGAAAAAAACTTGGGGTGACATGCTCTGCGACTTTAGTCAAAATTTCCGTGGGGAGCCCGGGAGCTGCAGCAAGCGTACAGAGCATGCTCCTGTGTCACTTGGCCACGTGTCCCGGGCGGGGGCGGGCAGGAGGAGTGACAAAGGGGCCCAGCCACAGGTGAGCAAGGCCACACGGCTTCTCTGGGGCCGAGGACCTTCTACCACTTCGCGTTCAACCCCTGCGTGCATGGTGCTGGGGGTGGGAGCCAGGGCCTTCGCACCAAGCTGTGCCCCCGCCTTTTAAGGCCCTTGAACTTTTGAGGCAGGGTCTTGCTGGTCACCCAGCTGCCCAGAAGGGGCCGCAACCTGCGGCCTCTGGCCTCGGTCTCTCAGGCTCATGCTCCGCCACGCCGGGCCTCAACCTCTGCTCTTTGGCTCCGAGGCCAGCACTCTGTCACACGGCTGTGAAGCACTGGTCCCCTGCTCGCCAGGCCACTAGAAACCAAAGCTCTCTGCCTCACTCCACTCACAAATCCTCTGTGAGCTTCAGGACCGGTGCATGTTTCACACCACTCACAAATGCTCTGTGAGCTGCAGGACTGGTGTGTGTTTCACACCACTCCATCTCAGACTGCACTGGGGACCTCGCCACCTGGAGGACAAGGAGATCTCTGGAAGAGTTCAGCGGGAGCCTCAGGTTGTGGTGGCACTGGCAGCAGAGTCGCCAGCTGTGCCAGACAGGACGCTGTGGGGGCAGGGGCATCCCAGGCATTGCAGAGGGTGAGGGGCACAGCCAGGGCAGTGCCAGGGAGACGGGGCAGCGTTGGAAAAAAAAAGCAAAGGAGGGGAGCAAACTCGGAGAGTTGACTTCAGGTGCTGGGCCTTGCGCCGAGCTCTTGCCAGCCAGAGTTCAGCTTGAGACAGGTTAGATGGCTCCACACGCCAGGCCGACGCTGAGGTCAGTGACCAAGACTACAGTTGGAAGACGAAGCTCCCAGAACATTGTCTTGGTTACTTTTCTCTCATTGCTGAGACAAAATGCTTGACACCCAAAATTAAGGGGGGAAAGGTTTATGTAGCTCACAGATTGTGGAGGTTTCAGTCTGTAATCAGCTGGCTCCAAGGCAGGGTGGCATGGCACAGGGGCAAGAGTTCATCACAGCAGAAGACAGCAAAGGCAGCAAGAGCAAAAGGGGGAGAGCCAGCCTCTTTTCCTCCCTTATATTGTAAGAGGCTATCCATCCTGGGGTGGGTGTGGCACTCACACCATCTCCCTGGCCTCCTCTTGCGCAGGCTGAAGATCTTCACAAAATGAGGCCCCTGGCCCCCTGCTGAGTCACTTAGTTAAATTTCTGAACTTCTCAAGTTGACATACTGTATCAACCATTATATACATTCACTCATCAAACAAGACATTTCCTGAACACCACAACCTATGCACTGCGCTGGCTGCTGGCAGAGAGCCATGGCCAGCAAGGAGCTTGTATTAAGTTGGAGGAGACTGCAAACAAATACATGGAATCTAAGTATAGTATTATCTATCTATCTATTTATCTATCTGTCTATCTATCTATCTATCTATCTATCATCATCATCTATCTGTTGACCCACCCACCCTGCTCTCTACCTATCAATGCAATTTCAGGACCAGGAGACAGATGGAGAGGAGCACAGCAGAGGAAGGGTCCAGTCTGAGGAGTGCTCCTGTGAGCTCCACCAGGGCAGGCCTGGAGCCAGCCTGTGAGCAGAGGCCTGCATGAGGACGGCTGGCCACCCTGTGCGGTGTCCAGGCGGAAGGAGAAGCGGGAGGCAGCCCGGGGTCGGGGCGTGGGCTCGCGGTGGGAGGGAGGCGGGAGAGGACAGTGGAGAGGACGGTCCTGGGCAGGCTGCGAGGGGCTGGGTCTCGCGGGTGGAATGTGTCCTTGGGGGAGGAGCCCAGGGCTCTTTACAGGGGAGAAGTGTGATCTGATTTGCGATTTTCAGGGGCAACTTTGGCTGCTGGGTGGGGCTTGAGCCTGGGTGGTAGAAGTGTGCCGCGAGCAGGGGCAGAACTGCTGTGTTTTGACGCTAGAACCAGGGCATCCTGCCAGGGAGTTGAGTGTTAAATATGAGAGAAAGAGGAATTAATGATGACTCCAAGATATTTAACCCAGCCAAGGTGATGATTAAAATTGCTGCTTCCTCTGTGGGGAGGGTTAGGAGAGCTGATTTGGGGCCAAAATCGAGAGTTCTGTGGCAGGCCCCATAGGTCCAGGGGGCTGGGTGGGCTTCCTGGGGAGGAGCAAGGAGCACTGAATCTCTGTTTCTTCTTTTGATTATATGGAGGCACCAAATGCTCTCTGCTTCCTGTAAGACACAGCTCTGATGAAACAACCAAGCGACAAAATGAAGCATCAGTGTAGGGGCGGAGGCTTGGAGAGGGCCGCAGCCCAGGTTGGCAGGAGTTTTGCTGTAAGACGGGGCAGAGAAACGGGTGATTACTTGGAAGAGTTGGTGGGCGGATCTCTCTCCACAGACCTTTGCACTGCCTGCCAGGTGTCTGTGTCTGCTCCCCAGAGGGCTGTGGGGGACCCGACCCTAGGGCTACTTCATCGGAGTCTCAGGCGTGTGTGTGGCTCGGGGCCCCTTGGTGGGGAGGAAGTTGTACGTTCTGGGGGAGGCGGAGTCATGCTCAGGAGCCAGGCTGCCACGGAGGGTGTCGCCAGGCAGGAGGGTGAGCTGCGCCTCACAGCCAGCAGCACATCCCGCCTCACCTGCACACCTGAGACTGCGCAGAATGCTGCCCTGCAAGAGGAATCTGAGCTGAGCTGCACCTGGAGTCAGTCCGTACTCAGCTGCTGTAAAATGGCTTGTTCCCATTTTCTCTGCCCGAAGCTCAGCTGGGGGCCGCCGCCTTGCCCATGGAGGCAGAGCGCGGAGACTGAGAGATTGAGACGGGGGGCGGGGGTGCGAAGAACCGCTCCCAGTCCTTCCGATGCCTGGACTGGGCTGGACCGATCACCGGTGAGGGGGTTGATCTCTGGGCGCTCAGCAGCATCTGAGTCTTCCAAGACCTCCACTTCCCCTATATCAGATTGATGGATGGATGGGTCGGGCCCAGAGCTCTGAGGAGGGGAGCCAGAGAGAGGAAAGGAACTGGGCACACCAGGGTCAGGAGAGTGGACACAAGGAGAGCTTCCTTCCTAGCCCAGAGCCGGAGAGCCCGGCTGGCAGTGGAGTGGGTGGGGTCTCAGTGGGCCCCCGTTGCTGGGGCTGTGCAGAGCTTTGGGGCTCTCTGCCTCAGGCTTGGCCTGGCCCGCAGAAAATCTGTTTGTCATGGTGCGGGCCACTGTCAGCCCTGGAGGTCTGTTCTGTGTGGTGAGGAGCAGACTTACTGGAGAAATTATGCAGCGTGACTGAGAAACACAGTGAATGTTCAAATTAAAAATATTATCACAGCGAAAGACACATTGCCGTTCAGCTCTGTCAAAATCCCCACCCCCCAGGCTTTGAACACACTCATCCCACCACTCGCACCTCCTTCTGAAGCAGTTCTGGAGTCTTCTTTCCCGAGAGTCTTTCCGAGGTGTGATCAAAGAGCGCTGCTGCTGAGTGCCATCAGAAGGAAAAGCAGCACGTACACACAGGACGCCGTGCCTCAGCCGCCTTACCCAGCACGTCTGGCTCTGTGCCGCTTCTGCCTCTCCCCCGAGTACAAAGGACCACGAAAGGGAAATGTTTTTAATCTCCTCAAGACATCAAGGCAGCCGGAACAGCACCGCTGAAGACGCTCAGGAGAGAGGATGCCGGAGCTGCTGCACGAAGCAGCGAGGACGGCGGGAGGAGCGTGTTCACAGCGAGGCAGGACTTTGAGGAGGAGGACTGGCAACGTGTCCTTTACTGTCACAATTTCCAAAGACGGAAACAGTCTGTGTTTCTTGACGACACCTGTGAAAGGTCCTTCAGGCCCGTGGCCCGCGCTTCCCGAAGCAGCTGCTGCACACAGCGCGTGGGTCTGAGCCTGGCCGCTTCTCCTCCCCAGCGACTGGCACCCATCAGCGGGTGCCCTGGCCAGCTCCTCCCCCACTGCCTGCGTGCAAGATTCTGCTTCACCCCGGCACCCGGGACCCTCGCTGCGTGTCCAGCTCCTGCCACTGCTTCCCTTGCCCGTAGGACTGGGGGCTCAGGTGGCACCACGTTCTCACACCCAGCGCGGCCCCTCTGCTGTGTGTGTGTGAGCGCCCCCTCGCTGAGGCTGCGTGGTGCCTCCTGCCAGCCTCAGGGTCTGGGTGGGGCTTTGGGGGGCCTGGGCACCCCCCCCCATGAACTGGATGTATTTCCAGGCATGTGAGTGGGCCTTCGGGCACATCCAGCAACTCCTTTGCGGATCTTTGTCACCATCCAGGCCTCTGCCCTGTGCCACACCCACCCTAGCCCCTTGTCTGACTCAATCCTGGTCACTAGGCCTTGAGCTTCGGAGCAGACTTCACCTGCACGCTTCCCTGGATACCGTTCTTCTTCCTTCCTGCACTGGGGTGGACAGTCCCACGCCCCTGGGTGCACACCCTGCTTGGTGTTTGCTCGTGACCCAGCTATCCCTGTCCTGGGCATTTCCCTGAGATAGTTAATGTCATCATCCTACAGCAACACACACCTGTGTTTACAGCTGCGCAGTTCACAGCAGCTGAACTGGGAAAGCCTAGATGCCCATCAACAGACGAAGGGGTAAAGAAAATGTGGTATTTATGCACACTGGACTGCTATTCCACCATAAAGAAGGATGCATTCTAGTTATTTATAGGCAAATGGGTAGATCTTGAGACCTCAGTGTTAAATGAAGTAAGCCAGACCTCAAAGATTAAATATCAGATGATTTATCTCACACAAGAAATCCAAAATGCAAATAAATTGAAGGGTAAAATACAGTAGAGGTGGTAGGAAACAGGGACAGAAGTTTTGGAGATGAGACAGGGGATCAGGAGAAGGGAGAGTGATGTATGGGGGGATGAAAAAATGATCAAGATACAAATATGTATATCTAGAGAGAGAGAGAGAGCACCAAAAACATACACACACTTCAGGAAAAGAAAAACTTACATAAATATTTTAATACTAAATTTATTGAGACTTCCTGAGATTAACACAAGTCACCATTGGCCTCTACAATTACAAGAGATGCTCAAAGTGGTGGCACCTTTGGGTGCGGAGTGTGCAAGGTCAGAGGCGTAAGCAGGAACAGGCACAGGTGCTCCTGGAAGGACCCCAGTGGGATGAGGGTCCCAAGGCCACGCCCAGAAACTGAGTGCAGTTTGTAGGCAGAAAGCTAGCATGGGGTTGGGGTCTGGAGAGAAGAAACCGCGGGACCCGATGGAGCAGTCTGGGGAGAGACACAGAGAAAGCCAGAGAGAGTACCTGCCGCATCTGTAGCTTTAAGGGTAGGACAGAGGAAGGCCTGTGGCCTCCCCAAATTAGAAGGCTAGTCTGGAAGTGGGTGCAGAGGCAGTAAAGAGCATTGCAGTGAGGAGCACTGCAGTGAAGAAAGCCTGTGGTCTTGGGGCCAGGCTGAGAGCTAGGAGTGAGATCACTGGTGTGCTCACCTGTGTGTGCACGCACATGTGTGCTTACGAGTGTGCATCTGGTTATGTGTGACTATGGGATTTGCATTCATGCATGTGCTCTCTGTGTGCCAGGATCTGGCAATCCCAGGAGCAGTGGGGATGGTGCAGCGCACCAGGGGTCAAAGGCCAAAGGTCAAGGAGAGGAGATGGGGAGAAGGAGTGGGTGGGCCTGGAGGGAAGCCCGAGTGGGTGACACAGGGACAGCGTAGGGCTGTTGGCTGCCCCAGTAGATGCAGGGGGGCAGAGGGACTAGAAACGGAAGTGGTCTGGGGTGGCCCTTGGTGGGCAGTGACCTCCTGGAGCCCCAGGGAAGGGGACAGTCAGCTGAGCAGGGACCGAGAGGCCGTGATGCCCCATGGAGAGCAGGTGAGGAGTGGAGGCTGCTGCGGCCACTTCGCTGAGGACTATGTCTCGTGGGCTTGAAAAGATTTGTTTTGGAAACTTGCATTTCAGAGATTAGTCTTTCCTGAGAGAATGGTAAAACTTCAAAGTACCATCACACGTTCCTCTGCAGCATTTAAATAGCTTCTGATCACGGCAGCTGTGCATGTCCACTTCTCCAGGAACTTCAGGCCATTGGCAGTGAGCCCGGTAAACGTCCTAATGTAGGAAAGAAAATTGCCCTTTTTCACTGAAGTGTTTTCTGTGAAGATCTCTCTCCTGTTGACTCAGTCTCAGGGATGTGTGTGTGCGTGCACGCGCACATGTATACACATGCAAGCGGACGTGAAATGTGTCTGTGTGTGCTCCTTTATCAACTGACACTTTTCATATTCTGTGTGTCAGGCCATGTAGACACAAGGCACATAAGGTGAACCAGTTGTCCCAGTGAGATGGGAAATGCACATGTGTGGCCCCGTTACTGCACGGGGCGTTGCTGAGGGAGGAGAACTGACAGGGAAAGGAGGGTGCGCGGTGGGCCGCAGAATCGAGACGTTTAGACGCTGTCTGTCCTCCATAAGGTGCTCCGTGGCAGGGTGTGCTGGAGGACATTTTATCCACACCACAGCAGTCTCCCTGCTCCTTGAGTCCTTCCTGCCCTTGGAAGCAGAATTAGTAATGGTGGTGACGTCGCATCCACTCTGCCCTGTACTCCCACGCTCCATGGCTCATGTGGGGTGGCAGGAAAGGCAGCTCCGTGGAAGCCAGGGTCCTGGGGTGTAGACTTGGGTAAGAAGTGTGGGCCACATGGTGGCCTCTGTGGGAAAGGTGGCTGTCTTGAGGGCTTGATTGCGGTAAGAAAAACATTTCCTTAATCCTTTGGTTCTGTGGCCCCCACTCACCTTCGCAGCTGTCCTGTTCTGCGACACACACACAATGGCTGGAGCCACGCCCCATAGCATCACTTCCCGCCAGGACCCTCTCCTCCTAGGTTGGGCCCAAGCCTGCCTGCGCCTTTCCCTGTGCTTAGAGGTTCATCCTAAATGGCCCCAGGCTGCTGGCTTCTTCCTGCTCTGAGGACCAAGCTTCTCCTGGCCAGGCGGGCTTGGGGTCCGGTGGAGTCCCCGCTTCTTTCTCAGGACAGCATATCAACCCCTGAGTCATGTGACGGTAGGTCTTGGTAGCCCCAGAGGAGAACTGCAGAGGGAAAACCACGGAATCTCTGCCCAGGGACCTCCCTCCTTTCCTATATCTGGGATGTAAAATCTAAGCACCCTCTGAGGCCTCTCTCAAATGCTGTGTGTGTGTGTGTGTGTGTGTGTGAGAGAGAGAGAGAGAGAGAGAGAGAGAGAGAGTGTGAGAGAGAGAGAGAAAGAGAGAGAGCGAGACGGAGAGAGAGAGTTTTCTGGTTTCCCAAGGGCACAGCCTCTCTAACCTTTGGTCATTCTGTTATTTTTTCTCTCGTAATTGTTCTCATTAGTTTCCTCTCACTTCCTAAGAATCCGTAACCCTTGAAGTCGGTAACAATGCAGAGGAGACGACCTCCAACAAACATGTTGAATTCAATGGGAATTAATTAGTTTCAAGGCACTCCCAGGACATTGGACCCTTTCACGCAATGTCTTTGCTGCAGTATTTTTTGGTTAATTAAAAAAATTAGATTAACCCCAATAATTACTTTAAGAGTGATTTGTATAGTTTATTGATTTAACTTGAAGCCTATATTCATTTGCCAACATTTTTTAATGTGGAACCAATGACTTTAAATTTGGGTTCACTGATTGAAATTCTAGGTTTTCTTTCTTGCATTAATCATACTCATGATGAATAATTTAGGATTTCCAATTTGAGTTTCAACATGGAAGGAGAACTTATAAACAGTTGGAATGCAATTGGAGTGCAGTCACTGTCTATTAAAATTCCTCCAGTTCATAATAATTGTCTCTATTAACTGAACTGCAATTTTTTAGCCTTATACCGTCCAGTGTAATAACTGCTGACCTCATGTGGTTACTGAGACCTTGAAATGTGGTTAGAACACAGTAGTGACTCAGGGCAGAAGTGTAAAATGTACACTGGATTTCCACAACATCCCAGAAAAAAAAAAACATAAGAAATCTCATTGTATATGATATGTTAAAATAATAATTTAGGTGTGGAGTATAGGGTTACATATAATGGGTTATTAAAGTGAATTTAATCTGTAGCTTTTTATTTTTTAATGTGACTGCTGGAACATGCATGCCCACTATGTGGTTTGCATCTTATTTCTATTGGATGGCAACGCTTTAGTGGGTCACGATATTCATTCTTCGCAAAACACTCAGTGCCACTTTCATAGAGACAACCTGTCTTTCCGTGTTTCCTCAAGTATTTTAAATGTACTTAATATTAAATTGCATAATTATAGTAAGAAGTGCAACTGTCATGATAGAGTTCGGAGGAAACACACTAAACTTTGACACACTTGGGCGTTAAAGGAGTGAAAGTTTGCGGGCAACACAGGGCCTCACTCATGTGCTTGGTGCCACAGGCCTTCGTGGGCAGCTGATCAGGAAGAGGCAGCTGCACTTCCCTTGGGGAAGCTGCCACATGGAGGCTGTGCAAGAGACCTACCCCTGGGCCTCTGGTCCTGGTGTCTGAGAGAGCAGAAGCTGGAGATGATCTCTTTGTTATGCTGTTTAAATGACAATCTCACAACTCCTTTTTCCATACACTTTCCTGACACCCTCAGAACTGTATACTTGAGAAATGCACTTGGGAATATTCTTAGGAAATTGAAAGCAAGTTTTTTCTGCTATGGGAAAGCCAAGAAGGTAATAGTTATCCTGATGGAAGGGGTGACATACGGCCAAGTTTGTATTCTACAGACAAGTGATCCCTTATCAGGCTATTAGGCAACTGATGTTTGCTTAGCTTTGGACTCAGGCTGCCCTCTTGGAGAGGAATTTGAGCCTGGCCAGAGTTGGCCCCAGTGTAGTCACCTTCATCCCAGCGACTCCAGGGTGAGCTGTGGGTGATGACGAAGACCCACTCCCATGTGTGAAGACAGACTCTCACCAGTCCTGCCTGGCAGAAGGTCAACAGTCTGCAGGTTGTGTGCTGCCCGTGTGCATGTGAGAGAGGCACCTGCTTCTGCCTCTGGCTTGGGCAAGAGACATGAGCTGTCT